ACAATTTCAATACATAACCTATAAAAAAAATATTAAAATGTTATTTTACTAATGTTAGGAATATAATTTCGACTGTGTCAAAATGTTATTATAATGTATACCTACATTATCTCTTGAAAGATAAATAATGAACATATTTACTTATTTGTTTATATTACCTATGTGAACTCTTAACCTATCTTTTTTATACCTTCATAGCCATAGGTATATAGGAGGATGGAAAAAATGTATTTGGTCTAACTTTACGCGAATGCACATTATTTTATTTATTTATTTTTTAATTTTTTTAATTAAACTGTATACCAATTAATTGGTCCTTCAGGATTTATAATTGTTTTTTTTTTCACGATTAAAACCGCGTAGAAAGTTTAGGCATTATAGTTGACGCATGCGCCATAGATTATACACTTATGGCATGCGCAGTACACATATTTTGTATACATTTATTCAACTAATACAATTAATTAAACAAAAAATGAGTAATTTTGAAAGAGAACAAACGTATTTTATATAAGAACAATCGAAAATGAATATTTACGAGTAATTAAGGACGAAAAAATATTAAAAATTGCAATCGAGGGGCTAACTTTTAGATATATTTTTAATATTTTTTTTAAAATAAATAAATGGGGAACAAACAATTATTAACAGTGAACAATCAAGAACAAATGATGGACAAACGAATTAATAGAAAATAAGTAGAAAAAAGGAAAAAAAAAATTTTTTGAGGGGCTAACTTCATTCACCTATAGGTATTAGCTATAATATTTTGTCTGTGGTGCAATATACCATCATAGAGTGTATAATCTATGATCATAGATTAAACGTGCTATAGGCCATTGGTTAAATTTAATGCAACATACATACATTTAATCAATTCGGCATTGTTTATAGTGTTCATACAATTATTTTAACTTTCTGTGAATTTGTGAAGACCTTTAAAGTGGATTTTAATCATGACGGTAGACGGTGAGGATAAGAAACCGAGAGATCGTGTGTTCATGGATATTTCGATCGGCGGTATGCCATCCGGTCGAATAGTGTTCGAGCTGTTCAATGAGGTGGCTCCGAAGACCGCGGAGAACTTCCGGGCTTTATGCACTGGAGAGATGGGCATTGGAAAAAATACTGGCAAACCACTCACTTATAAGGTGACCGAAAACTACAGTATTGTTTTTCTAATATTGATTATTGTAATGTTTTAACTCAATCTAAGAGGTAATTCTAGGTAGAACATTCATGCAAATTTACAGGAGTTAGATAACGGTGACCTATAACGACCTGAATAATTAAAAAGAAGTGTTGCAAAATGATATGTACATAGCGGCTGAGTCTAGATTAAAAACATACAATTTGTATGAAAGTCTCAAGTATATCAGGTGTCATGGAACAGTTCCTATAAAGGATAACAGGTGGAAATGCTGGTCGTTTCTCACACAGTAATATTACAATAATCACAAAAGTAATGATTAACGTTTCAATAAAAAATACTAATAACTAAATCAATTAGATAAAAACTTATCCTTAATTTTATGTTGATTTAGTATGCTATGTTAAAAATTGTCACACTGTAGTGTGAAGAACATTGTAGAACACCTGCAGGTGGCAAGAACTAAAGGGAGGAGGTTAAGGAGCTTGCTAGACCATTTACACTGATTTAAATTTTTTATCTGTGAGCTTCTAAGAGAGCTTGAAAAAAGTAAAGTCACTGAACTGTTTTCAGTCTATATTGATTGCAGTGTTCTTGTAAATTTGATTCTGCTATTTATCAGCAGCATTCCGCATATTTATTGTATTCTAAATTACTGTTATTTAGTTGAATTTAGCAATCAAAATTAATATTGTTCTTCAGGGCATGGTGTTTCATAGAGTAGTCAAAGACTTCATGATACAAGGAGGAGATTTCACAAATGCCAATGGAACTGGAGGAGAGTCTATTTACGGTGGTACTTTTGAAGGTAACTCAACTTTATTAATCCATGTAAAACCAGATCACATCATCATCATCATCATCATCAACAGCCCACAGTCATCCACTGCTGGACATAGGCCTCTCCCAATCCACACCACTGAGCACACCCTGCTTTAATTTTTTTTAATTGTATGAAAAACATTGTTTTCTTGAAACTATTTAAATGAATAGCTATTAAACCTCTGGACTGCTAACAATAACTGTGCCAAATTTCATCACAATTAGCAACAGTTTAGAAATGCATAGAGGACAAACTGACTCAGTGGTGCAGTGGTTAAAATCTGACTGATGAGTTGAGGGTAATGGGTTTGATTTGCACATAGGGCAAATTTGCACATAGGCAAACATTTGTGTGATGAACAGGTTTGTTTGCTCTTTGTGTAGGTGTTTATTATCTATATGTTAAAATTGTTGGATAATTTTTATAAGTCCAACATTTCAACAAGTTACGAAATGTTCATTACTGTTTTCTGGAAAATTAATGAACAAATTACCCTATTGTTCTACTATAAATATGAATTACTTTTGTCCCACAACACATTTTGGCTCGTGCAGTCGAACGGGGCAGAGCTCTCTGTTGCTATAGTTGTGCACCTCAAATGTAATAAATAAAATTCATTGAAAAATTGAGTCTTAATTACTGTCACTGTCACAAGACATGATAATGATGATGTCATCATTTTAAAAACGTCATAATACCAGCTTAATCCGTCATATTATATTTAAACATATATAAGTATCTTATGTCAATCTCTGGTATCCTAAACACAGGGAATCCTATTATTCGGCTGGATGACTGCATTATTTGTTCCCACTAATTATTATATTATTATTATATGAACATACATTTAAATACTCATTTCAATTTACATAGATAAATGCTGCACAGTAAATGAATTCAAGGCCTAGCTAGTTTTAAGCTTTGCAGCAGAAATAGGCAGATAGTATGGTATAGTTGGGAAATAACATTGACATCATGATATCAGTGGGTTTTGGAAACCGTCTAATACCAATGTCATGCAGTCATGTGCTCATTGTTACTTAACGAAAAGTAAAAAAGATAAACCATAAAAATACATAAAAAATGGGTTGCATGTAATGTAGAGCTTTGAGATTTCTTAACAAATATAGATAGATGTATGGGATATCAAACAATTTCTTTTTTGGCAGGACAGTTATGTTCTTAGATTTAATATAAACATTGTAAAGTTTTTAATTAAAATATTTTTCTCAAATAATAATAATAAATAAATTTAAAAGAAATAAATCTTCATATCACCATGGGTCGAAATAAATTAATAAAATTTGATAATTTGTTCTATATGTTAAGAAAAATTCAAAACAAACTTCCAGGAGGAAGTCTCAGTCAAAGGAAATTATACAAACTATATAATTCCCTTTGAGTAAGACTTAAATATTAACTACAGGAAAACTTAAAAACTTTGATTTAAAATTAATGGCAAACATTTTTTTACATTTTAGACGAGACATTTGAGCTGAAACATGATAGGCCATTGTTATTGTCAATGGCAAACAGAGGAAAGGATACCAATGGGTCACAGTTTTTTATGTAAGTTGTGGAGAGGAGTGGGTAAGACAGTTACAAGCAACAAAATTAAATTCACAGTAAGAATGTAAACAAAAACTAATTTTTAAAACTATTAGTATTATACAGTTATGTGAAAGGTTGCAAGGGTGTCAATGAAAACAAAGGTCACACAGTTTGGCTGGGATTACAAATAATGATATATTTTGCACTTTTTTCATGTCAACATGCAGCAGTCATCACGATCATATAAATATTTGTATTACCTGCAAAGATAGCCGTCTGGCCCGTCTGGTGGGAAGTCGGCGCCGTCTCTCATGGACATCAGCAATGAAGGCTATAGACCGGTCAGGTGGCTCTCTGCGAGGAGTCTGCGCGGGCCAGCCAGCGGCGCCGCGGCGGGGGGGCGCCGCCGCCATTGTTGTTCTGTTCTGTGTGTTGTAGAACAACACAGCCGGCGCCGCATCTCGACAAGTGAGTATCCACAACCGACTCGCAGCTCTGTTGGTCTAGATCAGAGGTTGGCAACCTTCTGAGTCACAAGAGTCAAAAATTACAAATCTCAAAGGTTTTAAAGAGCCACAAAAAAATTTCTTGCCAACAATAAATAGTACTTGCATAAATAAATTTCATAAGAAAAATATATATTTATTCTTATATAAGTAGTGTTTTTTTTACCACAAATTAGATTATATAAATGGCATTATTAGATAATCACTTATTATTTAAGCAAATAATAAAAACAAACATTTACTTACAACAATGGGCTAACAGATAGAAATAGTGCCCAATCCTCGTCAGTCGATTCAGAACAATTTTTAAACGTTTTTTTTTGGTAAAATAAATCATATTTGCGTATGGAACTAAAGAGCCAGTTTCATATCCAAAGAGCCGCATGTGGTCCGAAGGCCGAGGTTGCCGACCCCTGGTGCAGATTGTTTCCGAATGGGGAGTTTTCCTAATGAAATATTGTTTTTTTTTTGTCAACTTTATTTTGCTGACTGTTGACATCCTCTTACAACACAATTAATTACTAAACTAATCAATTCTCCCCTTTTTTTCGAAAATTACTAATTCGTAGTCGGAACTCAGTTTCAACGCTTTCCATAGTCAGATTTAATCTTCACATTTTTTGTCGAGTTTTGGGAATACGGCAGAAATGGTGTAGCCGCAGGGGTCTATTGGAACCAGTTAAAATTTGAAAGTGATCTATGAGAAAAAAAGGTTGGGAACCTCTGATCTAGATTGACCAATATTTAAATCAACCGTTTAAGGAAATTTTATAAAAAAAATGGTTAAAAAATGTCCACTCGCATATTAATGTAAATCCAAATTCAATTAGAAGAGTTGGGTTCGTTGGCCGGTGCTCGCGCCCACACTACCATCGAAGTCTCAATTGTTGTGATCACTTCCCACTCCGTTACATATACCTGTGGCAAGCTATCAACTAAACCGCCACCGACAATAGCGCTCCTGTAAATTATACAAGGTATAAGTTAGTAAGAAAAAATGTATTCAAAACTATGTACGTCGTTAATTGAAAGAATGCAAGCTGCCGCACAGAGTCGGTGGAGTTGCGGCTCTACGCAAGCTCTCTGCAAGCTCTCTGGGCTATGAAGTGTATCCGAGGACAAGACTAGTAAGAGAGCGTCGGTTGTCAGTGTGCACGTAGTGTTCGGGTCGGTGGTGGGGGGCGCGGCGCTGGTGCGGCAGCTGGAGGCGCTGTCCGTGGACCGCAACGCGCGCCCGCTGCAGGACGTGCTCGTCGTCAACTGCGGAGAGCTCGTCAAGATCAAGACCGGTACGTTCCGTCCTCGACCACTTACATTACATCTTGGTGACTTCACTAATGTAATGTTCACGATTGACTTCCGTGGTGAAGGAATAAACATTGTGTAGTAAAAATCAAACTCACAAAATTATAATTTGCGTAATTAGTGGTGGTAGGACTTCTTGTGTATCCGGGTAGGTACCACCACACTCAGCTTGCAGGATGGGGCAGCGGCTGTAAAAACTCTGACTTAAGGTCAGAGCTCATTAGAGTCGCCCGGCACTCACTCCGCACCGCCCCGCCTCGCGCGCGTAGCATTCTTTATGTGGACCTGTATGGGGACACCGCAGCGCCACCGGAGCGCCATCGGAGCGCCACCGCAGCGCCACCGGAGCGCCACCGGAGCGCCCTCGGACTGCGCACTGCCTACGTCCGCACAAAATGAGCTCTGACCTTTAGAACTCATGCCTCAAAATGAGGGGCGGTATTAACTTGGTTGATGTTTATGGGCTCCGGTGACCACTTAACACCGGGTGAGTCGTGAGCTCGTCCACACAACTGAGCATTAAAAAATAATTCTATGTAAATATTCTTATCAACAGTAAAAAAGCGAAAACAAGAGATGGAAAAAGACGAGAGCGAAGCCGAGTCTGACCCGTCGCAGAAGAAAGATAAGAAGAAGAAAAAAGAAAAAAAGGAGAAAAAGAAAGAAAAAAAGAGGTATTATATTGTATTCAGGCGGCTATAACACAAGTACAAAGTGCGGCCGACGGCTCTGTACCATCTCGTGCGCCTTGTGACGTCAGCAGGGAGGAGCCCGGCCACCCGCTGGCGCTCAGCACGCCGCTCGACCCGCGCGAGATCCCCGCCGTGCCCCCGCACAGCTTCCTGCTGCGGCCCGAGGGCGCCAGCCGCCGCGACCCCGCCCGGGACCCCGCCCGGGACAGGTGCCAGACAACTCACTTCACGCCACGTCATGTTCACATATTTTTTAAACTTAACTATAAAGCATAAATTAATTAGAATGAGAACAACTAACACATAAAATACTTTTATTTATTTTCGTCTCTGTTTAAATTTTACAAAACTTGCACAATTTTACTGCGGAGGGGTGAGACACCCCCCCCCCCCCCC